ACAGAACAAAGAAATACTGTGTGGTTTAGTATCAGGGAAAAGGTGTGTCAGGCTTGTTGCTTTTCACTGTATTTATTCAATCTGTATGTGAAGCCAAAAGAGCCCTCGTTGTGGAATGGGCTCTGCATTGAGCTGCTACCCCAAGGTCAGCAGTTGGACCCCCCCAGCCACTCTGAGACGGAAAAGTGAGGCTGTCTGTTCCTGTCAAAATTTAAAGTCTTCGAAACCGAAAGGGATCAGGTCTGCCTTCTTTCTCAGGGTCTCGAGGAGTCAGAACGGGCTTGATGGCAGGGGGTTTAGTTTTGGTTTTATGTGGAGCAAATCTGAGAGGCTGGTCCGAATGAAGACGAATGAGGCATCAGGATTGGAGGAAGGCTCCTTAGCAACCTGTGACATGCAGGTGACACAGCCCTGCTTGCTGAAAGCAAGGAGGACTGGAAGCACTTGCCGATGAAAAGCAAAGACATAGCTTTCAGTTTGGATCGCAACTCCGTGTAAAGAAAACCAAAATCTTCACAACCGGCCCGATGGACAACAGAGAAGAGATCAACGCTGTCAAGGAGTTCATGTTGCTTGGATCCACAATCAGTGCTCATGGAAGCAGCAGTCGGGAAATCAGACGATGTGCTGTTTGGGGCACATCTGCACAAAGGTGCATTAAAGTGTTGAAGAGCGAGCATGGCCTTTGAAGACTAAGGTATGGCTGACCCAAGCCATGGGCTTTTCAGTTGCCTCACATCCCCGTAAAAGCTGGACAAAGAGAAAAACAAGCACAACAGACCTCTTTCTATCTTGGAAGAAGTACAACCAGAGTGCTCCTTAGAGGCAAGGATGCTGAGACGTCGCCTTACACACTTCGATGTGCTGTCAAGAGAGGCCAGTCGCTAGAAAAAGACAGCATAAAGGCCATGAGAAAGAGGAAGACCCTTGAGGTAGATGGACGCTGTGGCTGCCGCCGTGGTTTCAGACCTCACAGTTGTGAGATCAGCCAGGGCCCGGCAGGGTTTCATTCTGTTGTGCAGAGTGGCCACGAGTCAGACCAGCTCCGCAGCACCCACCACCACCAACTGCCGCCTACGCTTGTCTATGACGTCAGAGGGAAGGAGGGGAAATCCTGTTGGATCTGGACGGCGGAGGCTACTTCCAGCAGCGTAAATATGTTCAGAGCAACTTGACTTCAGGGAGCAGAGCAGTGTGCAGCCTGAGCAGCTTATGTAACACAAATAACCTCTCTGGTTTCAAACAGTGTTTAAAATGTTGCCAATTGGAATTGTCACACGTCCTGCAGATGGGTAGTATGAGTCTTCCTCTGAAAGCAAGAGCTCTGGAGACCACCTAACGGCTTGTATTCAGATTCTCCAGCCCCAAGCTGCCATACCTTCAGTAAGCTGTTTTACTGCCTCTCAGTGCCCTCGTTTCTGCTCTGCTCCTGGCTCACCGTGGGGATGATACTAGTGCCTGTAGGGTCCATGTGAATCAGGACGGATTCGATGGCAGTGAGGTTGTCTAGCTGTTAGCGTTGCTAATCTCTTTGGTTGCTGTGTGACGTGTTGAAGTTTTCACCATTGGAGATTTATTCCTTTGTGCCACTGTTGAGATGTGGACACCTCCAGAAGCCGTGGCCTTGTACGGATGGATGAGACTGATTTGGGCAGCAAGTGTTTATACAGCGCCTTCGGAGTACCAGGCCCTGTTTTGGATACTGAAGATACGTCAGTGGATGAAACAGACAAAAGTCCGCCCCCACATTGGCATTTCACATTTGTGGTGCAAGGGATCGACAGACAATGAAATTCTTATAGAATATATTAGAAATGATATGTACTACCAAAAGAAAATAAGAAAACCTTTTCCTGTGGCGTCCACCCCTGCTCGAGGTGACCTGGTGTTAAAGAGCAGAATGGCTGCGTACAAGGTTTTCTTGCCCGAAACCTTCATAGAAGCAGATGGCCAGATCTCTCTTCCACTGTGCAGCTGGGTGGATTCGACCCACCAATCTTTAAGTTAAGCCTCGAGCGTAGACCCCTTGTACTGCTTGGGGAACATAACAAACTATGAGAAAAAGAAAGCAACCCCCCTGCCACGGAGCTGATGCTGGCTCAGAGCGACCCTGTAGGACGGGTTCTTTCTTTTTTATGATTATAGTTCTCTTTATTTCTGGCAGCCCAATTCATGTCATCTCTTTCATTCTTTTTTATTTTGGTATTTGCATATTTTTCTTTTTTTGGTTTGTCTAGCTAAAGGTTTGCCAGTTTTTTTCCTTTAAATCATTTTATT